TGTTTTTTTGCACCGCCGAAGCCCGTGGTGTTAGATTAAGATCTATAGATGTAAGAATTTTTTTGCACCACTGAAGCCCGTGGTGTTAGATTAAGATCTATAGATGTAAGGATTTTTTTGCACCGCCGAAGCCCGCGGTGGTAGATTAAGATCTATAGATGTAACAACTTTTTTGCACCGCCGAAGCCCGCGGTGGTAGATTAAGATAGATAGATCTAAGAATTTTTTTGCACCGCTGAAGCCCGCGGTGGTAGATTAACATCTACAGATATAAGAATTTTTTTGCACCGCCGAACCCCGCGGTAGTAGATTAAGATCTATAGATGTAAGAATTTTTTTGCACAGCCGAAGCCCGCGGTGGTAGATTAAGATAGATAGATCTAAGAATGTTTTTTTGCACCGCCGAAGCCCGTGGTGTTAGATTAAGATCTATACATGTAAGAATTTTTTTGCACCGCTGAAGCCCGCGGTGGTAGATTAAGATCTACAGATGTAAGCATTTTTTCGCACCGCCGAACCCCGCGGTGGTAGATTAAGATCTATAGATGTAAGAATTGTTTTGCACCGCCGAAGCCCGCGGTGGTAGATTAAGATCTACAGATGTAAGAATTTTTTTGCACGGCTGAAGCCCGCGGTGGTAGTTTAAGATAGATAGTTTCAAGGGTTTTTTGCACCGCCGAAGCCCGCGGCGTTAGATTAAGATCGATAGATATAAGGATTTTTTTGCACCGCCCAAGCCCGCGGTCGTGGATTAAGATAGACAGATCTAAGGATTTTTTTGTCTCGCCGAAGCCGGCGGTGTTAGATTCAGACCTCTAGATGTAAGGATTTCTGCACCGCTGAAGCCCGCGGTGGTAGATTAAGGGTGATAGGGTGTGGGTGTGTAACAGCTACCATAATCTAGATTTCATCTCGGCTAAGAGAATCATCAGATGGCTCAATATTCTATAATGATTTTCGAAAAAATCACAAGAATTTATTGAATTTATTCTGTTGTATAATTTTAAACAAATTATAGATTGATGAACTCATTTTACAGGAAGTTTTATGGTTTGTGATTTTGTTTTATTTGATTGTATATGAGTTACTGGTAGTGTTGCGGCTGTGTAGTAGTCTCTGGAGTTGTGTCGTTGTTTGTATTGGGGTGGAATATTGGCGATAATGAAGGATTCGGTTTTTTAAATCTAGAATAAAAGTAGGTTGTTGGTTGTTTTTTAAGCGTTTGCTCTAGGCGTTTGTGTTGACTGTTATGTATGTTTTATTTTTTGAATTCAATACGGTTGTTATGCTAATTTTGTTTTGGGAGAATAAGGATGTGAGAAAACAGTCACTAGTCTTTTAAGTTTTTGTGATGGAATATCGTTAGTAGTTGTGTTATTTTTGTGAAGTGTATTAGAAGAGCGGTTCGTTTGGTGAAGTTGGATGACATTGTAGCGGTTTGTTAGGTTGGTTTGCCGTTGTGATAGTTTTCTTCTTGCGTTCTATGAATAGAGAGTTATGGAATATGTTTCGTTTGGAATATTCATTGAAGTGTCTTTAAAGAACTTACTTGTTTTAGTTTCATTCCTAGTGGTTGATGGTGTAGGGCGTTTGCGAATGAGTTCATGTTGTGCATCACGCCGAATTTTGTTTCCTACTATCATTTTCACGTCTGCGATGGGTGTTTCTTTGAATATGTCATTTTAAACTTGATGAAGGTCTCGTTTAAAAGACTGAAATCTTTGTTCATGTGTGTAATGCACGATTAGTTTGTCTTCATAGGACGTTTTTTGTTTGATTGTTTCTTGTTCTAGTTTTGTTCGCTGGTTCAGTAGCTCATCTGTTTGGTCATTGTCAATACCGGCGGTCATTGCATTCAAATGGGTTTGTGATTGACGATAGGTAGGCTGATTCAATAGTTTACTACGCATAAGAAAGAATTGTTGTTCGTCATGAATGTTTGATACAAAGGATGTGTCTGATATATATTCTGAGAAAAATCTTTTGAATTCTTTGTCTATAAAGGATGATGGGTACCTAAATATTTTTTTAGGAAAAGAAATGAGTAATGGAGACATGTTATTGAAAGATATATACCCATTATATAAAAGTGTCAATTTGATGTAAGATTTTTCCGTATTGAATATTTCAAATGTGGACGAGTATCTTACTGCCCGTGTAAGTGTCATTTGTATAACGTTGACAAATGTATGTCGAGAATGATCGGATAGAAATGGTACAACATAAGGTTCTGCTGCTGGTTTATGGTACACGGCTGTGGATAGTATACCATTATTATTCATCAGAAGTGTATCTAGAAATGGAAGACTTTGACTAATTTTATATGCTAATTTGATATTTGGATGCCAGGTATTTGCTTGTTCTAATAATTTTTTTAGTTCGGTTTCAGATTTATTCCATGTCATAAAGATATCATCAATATATCTATAAGAATTAATGGTGTAGAAAAGCATATTTCACTCTTGTTTTACTCACCTGCCATAAAATTCACCAATCATGTCTTGTCGACGAACAAATTCTTTTTGCCATTTCCACATAAAG